TTTATTTAATTTTTAAGCAAAAAAAAAAAATGATTTTTGGGGTTTTTGGCACCGGTTAACCGGTGCCAAAAACTTTGAAAAAAATTTTAGTGGGCCTTTTTGGCACCGGTTAACCGGTGCCTATTCCACCCTATGGCACCGGTTTTGAACCGGTGCCAAAAACTTGGTTTTTGGCACCCCTCACATAGGCAGCGGTTCAAACCGGTGCCTTAGACCGGGTTTGAACCGCTGTCAAATGCCTTTTTTCACCTAGTGGTTTTCTACGATTTAAAGTAGTATGGATCAAATTTAAAGAGAATGACTAAAAAGAAAAACCGGACAAAAATTGACGGACAAACTGTCTCGATTATCAATAGAGAAGATTAGAGTTTAGAGTTTAGAGAGGAGAGATTAGAGATTTTTTTTTTTAGAGTTTTAGGGTTTAGATTGATTTTGGCTCTGATACCATGTCAAATTAGAGAGGAAGATTAGAGTAAATGATATTCCGTGTGTCGTATTAAAATGTTCACAATATATTTATTCAACCTAGGAGAAGAGTTTAGGGCTTAACATCGGCCCATTAGCTATATACAATACAAGGTTTAACAGGAGTACTTTTAATTTCTTCATAAAATTAATCAATTAAGTATACCTAATGACATGAAAAAAAAAATAGAGATGGAGGAATCAATAGCTTCATACAGAGGGTAATAGTTATCCACCGTCTTAGACTAAAAGTTTTTGTTTCTTCACCTCCCAAGTTTCAACCACACCATCACTGCAATCACACTATTACTACTCTCTCTTTCCTTATATTAACTTTTATTTTATTTAGTTTAACTTTTATTACCCTAATAATAATACATCAGTCTAAGGGTCTGTTCTCATTGACCGAACTCAACTAAACTCAACTGAACTGGACTGAGCTGAACTGAACTGAACTGAATTGAGCTGAACTGAACTGAATTGAATTGAGCTGAATTTCAACGTAAGAGAACAGAGCCTTAAATCCAAACACATCCTAAGGTAGAAAATTTTCACCACTAAAAAAAACCCTCTTTGAAATGAAAAAGGCAAAATTGTACTCTATGATTCGTTATACCTAATCCAAATTTAAGCAAACCCAAAAGGCCAAAAGTACTGACTTTTTTTTTTTTTTTTTTAAATTTCAGTGGACGAATAATTCAATGGACAAAGGTTTTTGTTGGACAGGAAGCTAACTGACGGCCCAACCCAAGTTAAGAGGCTTTTTGGGCCTATAACATTATTAAATTCAACAATTATTTGTTAAATATGGGATCTAAAACAACGTGCCCTGGCCAACTAATCAGTTAGGCTGGCGATCCGTTGGCCCTGGCCACATAGGCCTACGTTGACACCAAATGTATTGGAGATGCCATCGTTAATACTTTTAAGGGGACGGTTTTCAATTAGTTTAGTTGATTAAAATTTTTGAAGGTGATAGCTAAGAAATGAGATTTCATCTCTACTGACCAATTAAAGCTATCGTTTCCAACCCACCACTCTCATAACCCAATTTTGTAGTAGTAAATTTTTTATACAATAGCCAGCACAATTATGTCTATTGATCATTTCTTGCATGGGTGCCTGAGCACATAGCGTAGATGGTTGTGTCCTTAGCAAAAAGAGCACGAGAACGTCTGCCGTCTTTACCAAACAAGTGTGTGAGAGAATCATTGTGTGCATGGTTTAGGTAAAAACAATTTGTCTCGTGGATGATCAACTGACTTGGTTTAGTTAGTTGAAAGCTTGAGGGGTGACACGCAAGATTTGGATCAAACCTTGTCAACTCCACATCATTGCCCTTGTAACTCTTTCTAAACCCAAAAAAATAATTGTAATTCTGTGTCTTGTTATGGTTCAATTTTCACACTCTATCTTTAAAACATTGCCCCATATATTAAACACAAATGTTGACAATGTATTAAAAGATTATTTTACTTTAATTGATAATTCGCCATATTTCCGCTTGTTATTTTACTTGCGCTCTTAATCTCTTTTTTCATCAATAATTGTGATCACTCACATACACCAATTTACACTTGTTGTTAATTGTAGGATCTGAGGCAATAATTTAGGCATGAAAAGAGTATCATTACTTTTATTTACTTTCATTCTAAATCAGATTATTACTAGAAATCCCATATAATCCACAAATGAGAACACATATTTGTCTCGAATTGATAATTTTGTGTTCACCCCCACATTGGACATGATTAAGGTCCAAATAATTGTGTTTGTACACCGTAACTTATAAAACATGTATTACATCTATTTCATATTATTTGCAATGATTAGACATTTTTTCTCTGTATTTTATATCAAATTGTTGCAAATTAATATAAAACGGGATAATAACTTCCTTTTTCGGAGGGCTGGGGTCCTTGGGGAGACGGTGCGTGTATCATGTTGGAAGCTTGGGACCATACAAAAAATCCAACATAATGAATTTTGCCAAGGAAACTTCAAGATTGTCATTTAGCAATGGTGGCAAGTGGCAACAACAAATACGAGTGGCCCACGTGTTAAATCAAGCTACTTCCACCATAAACTCCCTACACTACAACGATATCATGAGGCTCTTAATTTTTTGACTACTACCAAGTATTACTAGCGAATATAATCATCACTTCATAGATATACGGAATAGTACGTAATCTCTGTTGGTTGAAATCTTGCATAGCTTAATTTATTATCTCTGTTTCATTTGTAATGATTTTATATAAAGTGTGATTTAAAAATGTCTAATCGTTATAAAGAATATAAAATGAAAATGGTATTTCAGATTAGCAGGTTAGATTTCTTGAAAATGGAGAAAAGTATAACAAAATTCTTACCTTTACATTTTGTTCGGATAAAAGAAAGTGGAGGGAAAATAAGGAAATAGAAAGGGAGAGGGACAAACTCTCTTATTCGGATAAAGAATTGAGGGAAGGAAAGGATAGGAGAGGGAAGAATCCATTTTCCCTCTCTCTTTAATAAGCATAATCTTTCTTAAATTAAAGAGATTTGGAGCCGTTGGAGGGAAAATAGAGTTCACCTCCCCCTCCATTTCTTTCCTTCTATTTCCCTCCTCTTCCTTATTTGCTATCCAAAAAACAAAGTGTTAAGGTCAGGGGTGTACACCGGTCTAGATCCAGACCGGACCTGAACCGGGTCGGACCGAAATCGGATTGGATCAGCTTACACGGACCGGAAGTGGACTTGAATCTGCCGGTCAGTGTCCAGTTCGATTCAGATCCGGTTTCTAATCCGAGTATTTTATGTACACTCCTAGGGGCCCTAAATAGGAGTGAACCGTTCCATACCCGAACCAGAACCGGTCTGAACTTTACAATCCGCGTCCGATCCGAGTTTCTTTGTACACCCCTAATTAAGGTGTCTTCCTTTAGTGGGGATTAATTTCACAACTTCAAATTTGTGAATTATAATGCTCATCAGTTATACTAGTACTAATACTTTATACTTTAATATTGTGATACGTAATTAAAGATATTTATGTTGAAAGTTGTGTAAGATGATAATTATTAAGTTTGCGACAAACAAAAGGAATGGAGTGAGTTGGAAATTGATACTCCACCCACTGAGTTGGCCGACATGAAGCAAGCTAAAAATGATTATTCATTCATTCATCTTGCTTTCACTCTCTAAAAGTATACTCCGTACTTACTATTTTTTGGTTCCACACAATGCACGATTTCTATTATTTAAAGGACTTTCTAAAAGTAAAATACTGATTTTGACATGTTTGTTACCCTCAATGTCAATTCTTTTTCAATCTTTGCTAGAGGTCCACTTCTTAGGATATAGAAATTCATTACTCGTAGTAAATTAATTGGTAAAAAATTAAAAATGAGTACAGTATTTTATAAGTAAATAATCAACGAAGAAGATACTTTAATTTTATTGAAACAAAAACTTCTTTTACATGTAAACACTAATTACGGGGTGTTTAATTATTTCATCTAATGAGACGATGACTTTCAACAATAGTAGAAAGATTTAATGTAATTGCAGTGTAAGTTAATTAATTGTATATTAAGCTCGATCATTTATTAAAAACATAAACGAAGTAGGGAGTACATAATTTCTAGAAGATGGGAACACATCATAGAGAACGGATTCACACACTATAAACTACGAAGTACACACTTTTGAAAACTTTATTTGTTGTTTTAACTCTAGTTAAGTGGTTGCATTAAAAAAAAAACTATAGTTAAGTGGTTAATCCCTTTATTATCTCTCATCGTCTCGAATAAACTCTTGATTGATCACCTCGATATCTACTCCATAATAAAAGCACAAAACCGAACAAATAAGCCCTTGAAATAATTGAATAAACAATCCGTATACAGAGCAAAATCTTTGTCTTGATAAGATACTTGTATTATTTTTCATATATGGAGTATAATAGTAAAATTATCTTTTACGTAGTATTTTTTTGACATGATCGAGCTTGAGCAAAAATACTAAGACGTATTATGAAAAGGAGATAAACTAAAATTAGCCGTGGTAGCAAGGATATACGCCCTGTAAACTCGTTCCCTCTCAACTTTGTGAATGCAATACAATCACCATATTCTAACCAAACAAGTTTAGGGAAGTTGGTAAGCTCAATCTTGTGATGAACCTCACAAGATGAATTCCCCCCTACCTACATCACTACATGTGCTTGGGAAGTTGGAAGTAGGGTATTCATTTACCTACCTTCTATTATTAAGTGTTAGACTTGTAAAAATAGACTGATTTAATCTTTGATACGAGTTCGTATTACGAATTAATTTAAAGTAAAAAAATCAAGGAAATAAACTACTACCTCTAATTTTTTTTAGTTACTCCGTATAATTTTGAAGTAATATTTGAGAGATATAAAATATTTTAAAGTTACAACTAAAAAAGAATTAGAGGTAGTAGATTAATTTAATCCATGATACGAGTTCGCACTCGGCTGTGGCAGCATGAGCTAGAAGCCTACATACCGGTAAAAACAAACTGCAAAACTATTTGGCAAAGAAACCCTCCAAAAGCCAAACATAGCTTTCCCAAATGCTTAAAGTTGGCCTTTCCTACATTTCCCTCTCCTTTCTCTCTCTCTCTAAAATCCACTGCCTATAAAGCTGTAAACTCATCGTTTTGATTGATTTAAAGGGGCACTTTGGTGCCCAATTGCTCACTTTCAGCTATGGGATTCTCTTCTACTCTTCTTCCCCATTTTCCAGCTTCTTTTCGCCGCCATTATTTCAAGGTATTTTACTATTTTTGGCCTCATTTAATTTCAGCTGGGTTTTTCATATTTATGATTATATTATATGTTTCTCTTGTAATTTGTTGCATTTCTTGTATTTATTTATTTATTAAAAGTGACCCATGTTGGGTTTTCGTTTAAAGTTCTATTCTTTGATGAATTTGAGACTCTGGGTTAATTCGAATATTTAATTGAGATTCTGGGTTAATAGGAATATTTAATTGAGATTCTGGGGTTTTATGATTGTAATAGTAAATTATGATTGGTTTTTGCTAATTTTGGTATGCTGCTGATAAATTTTGTTGTTAATTGGATTTGAGTTGATTTTAAGTATGGTGATTTCATCGAACAACGGGTAATAGATGTAATTTGACTATATATGGTTACAACTTACAAGGGTATTTGGTTCTTTGTGATTGAGTGAGGTTAATAATTTTTCGGTTTTCGATTGGGAAAAGACATATCAATGGCCTAGAATCCTAGTGCTGTGATAATTGGAGTTTTTTTCGAGTTTCGTTGAATGTTAAGAGATTTTTGTTGTTGAAAGAGTTATTAAGTGATCTGATATTGAATCTATACCTTGCTAGAGGAGTATGCAATATGCACTAAAGGTTATATATTGATGGTTGTGTATGTATTAAAAATCATTAATTGGGTTACCAATTCTGTTCTTAGTTGGTCACTTTCTATCACAAAACAAAGCAGTCCAAGGCTACAACAATGCATATATACTTCCTATTTGTCCAATTCACTGTCAAATTCTATTCTTTGATATTCACAATATAATTCAGTGGAGCTCATTCCCAAATTCTTTTTATCTATGCAGTTCTGTCCTCTTAGGGTCCATGAAGGTCACAGGACATTATCTTTTGTAACAACAACAAAGTGCTGTGCTCTTCATGGCACCAATTCAATTGTGGGAAATAGGAAATCCAGCATCAACAGCAACGGGACACCTGAGCCTGCAACGGCTCTCTTGGAGAGGTTGTTTGTACAGACACAGAAACTGGAAGAACACATGATTGGGAATTCTCATTTTTTTCAAGATGTTGAATCAGACCTGAACCTTAAAGATCTGGAGTCTGATCTTGAGGCTGCACTGAAAACCTTAAAGAAGAAGGAGGAAGATCTTCAAGAAGCGGAAAGAATGGTGATGTTGGAGCATGCTGAATTAAATCAAGCAAGAGAGGAGTTAGAGGGCCGAGAGAAGGAAATTGCAGCAGCCTGTTCCAAGCAGGAAGAATTGGAGGATGAGTTAAGGAAGGCTAATCTGAAGTTAATTTCTCAGGCAAGGTATATAGAAGATCTGAAATTAAAGTTGAAGGAAAGAGACCAGGAGGTTACTGCAGCGGAGTCTGCATTGCTGTTGAAACAAGATGAAATTGATAAAATGAGGTGTGAATTGACACAGAAAAATGAAGAAGTTGCCAGGACTGAAGCTCAGCTTATAGCAAAAGCTCAGCTCTTGAATGAAGCCAATGATGTAGTGAAAAGACAAGATATTGAACTTCGGGAACTTCGTAATTCCCTCCAAGGAAAGCAACAAGAGATAGAAGAGTTGTTAAATACAAAACAACTTGAAACAGAGAAGTTAAAAGACGCAGAGACCAAATTGGAGAAGCAGACAATGGAGTGGTTGCTAGCGCAGGAAGACCTAAAAAAACTTGGGGAGGAGGCATCCAAGCACATAGAAGAGAGTCAGGAAACTATCAAAGATTTTCAAAGAGTTAAAAGGCTTCTTGCTAATGTGAGGTCTGAGTTGGTCTCATCCCAAAATTCCCTGGCTACCTCAAGACAGAAAATGAAGGAGCAAGAGCTGGTGCTGGAGAAGCAACTGCTGGAACTTGAAGAGCAAAAGGAAACTATTGTGTCTTACATGAGTAGCCTGAAAAGTGCCCAAGCAGAAATAGAAAGTGAAAGAGCAAAGCTTAGAGTTGCAGAGGCCCAGAATAAGGAATTTGAGCTGGATCTATCATTGAAGAGGGACCTATTGCGTGATCTACAGGGGGGATTAAATAAGGAGAAGTATTCTTTGCAAAAAGCAATCAAGGAAGTGTCTTCTCTCCGAGAGGATCTGAACAAGAAGAACAGTGAATTTGAGAAAACAAATAGTCTCTTGGAGGTTAAGGAAAAAGAATTGGTGGATGCTAAACTAGAAATTCAGCACTTAATATCTGAACAGAAGTCCCTCCAGCTCACATTGCAAGAGAGAGATTTGGAGCTCAGTACTGCTAAGAAGAGATTAGAGGAGGTGAATGCTGAGGTAGCAGAACTAAAAATGCTCTTGAATATGAAGGAAGACCAGCTTATCCTAGCCACTGGCATGCTTAAAGAAAAAGACGATTACACTGAGGCAATGCAGCATGAGCTGGTTAATGCAAGACTGAAGGCTTCTGAAGCTGAAACTGTGGTTGGAAGAATCGTAGATCTCACTAATAAATTGGTAATATCCACAAATGACGACGAAGCAAGAGACTTGGGTGAGTATCCATCTCAATTGTTTGGAAAACCCGTGGAGGATTTTAGGTTGCAGAAGACACAACTAGAGGCTGAACTTGAGTTGACTAAAGAGAACCTTAAGGTAAGGGAGATGGAACTACTGGGTGCACAGAGGGAACTTGCAATCAAGGAGGAGGAGCTGGAAAAGGTCATTCAAAGTTTAGAAGTAAAGGACAGAGAACTGAAAGAATTGAAAGAGGAAGGGCTTAGAGATGCTGATAGTTTGAAGACGCTCTCAACCATGGCAAAGGAGAGTGCTGGACAACAGAATGTAGATGACTTTGCAATTGAGAAGCTTCAACTGGAAGCTGCTCAGCTCGAAGTCGAGGCTGCAACTAGTGCTCTGCATAAACTTGCAGAACTTAGCAGAGAGCTACTTCATAAAGCTAGCTTGAGCTTTGATGCTGATCACGATGTAAATGTATTTCCACAAAATGACTCTGGACCTAAATTGCACTTGATTGAAGATAGTGTACCCCTACAACATGGGTTTGACTCCGACTCAGATACAGTTAAAAGTAATGAGTGCATAACAGAGATTAAAACTGAAGTTGCCCGTCTTTCAGCTTTAACAGAAAGGTTAGTCCAAGAAGCTGGTGCGGTCTGTGCTGCAACCTAATTACAGCATTGATTATTTGATTTTGGTGTTATAGTTTCTGTTTGTGTGTAAATATGCATATTTACTATAAAAGTATCAGATTGATTACATGCTAGAAGTTTGTGGTATGGCAGTGTTGAGTTTTTCTTGTTCATGTATTATATATACTCAACACCTGTGCCAGTTTAAGCTACCTGGTTTTGTTGTAAGTCTGAAATTGATGAGATTAGGCAGTACATAATCTGATAGGAGTTTCAAGGTTTCAGTTTACTGGGGTTTAATGAAAGAGTTCTGACATACTATTGTCTCTGATCTCTGAGCCCTGAATAGGATAGTTTGTAAAAGCAGTATTGTTTCATGTGGCGTCTGGAACCTGCTTTGCATCACGAGGATCTTTTGTAGCCAAGGCCTTGAGCAGTTTTAGTACCCTTTGTTTTTGACATAATCAAATATGAGAATATTTGCTTGTGTACTATGGAATTTGTGTTTTTCACTAATCTTCTGCTAATCTGTCTGTTTGCTGAATACAATTACCTCCAATAACTCGCTCCAAAATATCAGAAAATATGCGAGCACAAACATCAGTGATGAAGTATTTTATGCCATCTATAGTAGTAGACTTATCTGCATGCATTATCTCTAAGGGAACATTGTCCCCCATGATTGCTGTAGTGAACGCCGTTTGGTTAACTGCAGGCCTGCCTTGATTAGCTGCAAGGGAATTTAAGCAAACCGTTGCTTCGTCTGCTACCTTGTTAACAATGAAGTCTGAAGCCTCTAGAAATTGTTGCTTTCTAACCAAAACCAAAGTGCACCACTAAGTGTGTAAATTAGTCGCGATTTACTTGGTGATATTGGTGAAAATTGTAAAGAGGAATGGTTGTCATTGCTATCTACTTTGCTACAATGCTTTAATAAATTTGAGAGAAGTAGCAGGGATTATAGATGAGAGTAAGTGTAACGTCTATGCAAATATGCGCATATGTTTGGGCGCAAATGTATTATATGCTTCTCCTCTATCCTAGCTTTGTTTGGGCTACAGGATGACTTTACGAATGCATGCAGCTTAATGTTGGTGAAAAGTAATTAAGGTTAGCAGATACAAATTAACAACTGAACCATCAGAGTTTCGAAACAATGAATCCTGATATGGTCACCTGATTATGCTGGGCTCGGAGAGTCTTATGTTTTGGTCATGCTAGTCTGCTAGATGCCACGATGTGTTGAGCTTCTTGTTGGGTTTTCTTTGTTTCTTAGGTGGTCATCAATGTACTGTATGTGACTGAATTTGATTTGATCTGGTTTTTAGCTACTGCATTTAAGCTCTATTGAAATACTATTAAAGAAGCGTAAAGTTGTTAAAGGATTTGGATAACGAGGCAAACTATGAAGCAAAACTTGGCAACTAAAGCCATAGGATGATACCACTCAAACTGGAGGGCTGAAGTATATAGAAAGCTACCTCTAATAAATCAAAGGGGAACAATGGCATGAAGCAAAAGCAAAACGTCCGGATTAGTTTAGATGAACCTAATTCAACTGTGATAAAATTCATGAAAACGTAAAGTACATAGTTTCATTTCCATCTTCCGAAGCAAAGTAGTTCATTTCCAACCTTACAGCTATCTACGGTCATATAATCATTTCTTTTTGGGAAAGACGTATATGTTTCTTATGTTATTTTTTTCTCATAGTACAAAATGGAATACCGAATTCACATTACTATTTCTTCTCTCATAAGTTCTACGCAAGTGCGGAGTAGTATATTGCTTTGTATGTGATTCCTACTTTCAGATGGAAGCAGAGATAAAATAAACCAACTCAAAACTTGGAGATAAAATAATATTTACCCTGACTATAAACAATGAATTGGTCCTATGGTCTAGCGGTTAGGACATTGGACTCTGAATCCAGTAACCCGAGTTCAAATCTCGGTAGGACCTTTTGACATTTTTTTCCTTTCTACTCTTAACTAGGTTAGACCACTCAACATTATAGTGACACAAAAGATAATAATCAACTTCTGCTTCACTGCAAAGTTTCATTAGTCCTAAGATATTACTTAGGAGTTTGCAGAGGAACGTCTTGACCCACTCCCTTGATGACCATTGATCTAAATCTTCGCGACTTCACCCCAATAACAAACTAAGCATTGTGAAACTGTCATTACACTGCATCAGCTCCCTATGGTCTTGGACAACAGGGTTTATGACACATACAAGCTTTTGTGAGTGCTTAAGAGTCAATATCCAAACAATGTAACTCAACTCCATACAAAACTCAAGTAAAATAGACATATACATTGATATATATATATAAATTGAACAAGGTGAATTAATTTAAATAATATTTACATAAACGGATAACTGAACAGTGAATAAAAAAAGGCATATTTACAATTTTAAATAAATAGATAAATTGAACAGGGAGATTAAGATAGATATATTTACAAAGATAAACTGGAAAAGGTGTTTTAATGTGAGAAATATAGACAAGCATATGAACCCCATAACCGAAACTATACAGTTTTTAGAGAAGTACTTCTAAGCAGATATGTTCAACTCAGAAAATAGAGAATATAGACAGCTTGGTTGACGGTCTCACACCAGATAGTGTACGTGCCATTTTTATAGGTTAAGTCAACAAATTATCGGAAATTACCATCTGTGAAAATTATTGTGGCCACAGAAGGGGGAAACCAGGCTGAGATTTGCCGGAATTATCAGCAAGCTGATCATCTCTTTCTGCTGTGGCTCCCTGTAATTTCTCTCTTTTCATCTTTGGTTTAGTTATCTTCTTCCCCACGAGAAGCCCCACTTTCATGGCAGTAAACAAACCCAAAGCAACAAGAAGAGGCCTTACAGCCCAGTGGATATCCTCAAGAAGCTGATATTTTTTCACAACTCCCTGACAGGAACTGAAAGAGACCACTTCAACTTCAGCAGGGTCAGCTAGGAATCGATCTTGTTTCTGAACAAAAGGTAATCTTCCTGGGAAGTCCACTATAAGACACCCATTTGGATGAATATGTAAGATCTTCCCAGTATCCCATGCTCCCCTCTTTCGTGGCCACTCAAAACGAGGATTAAATACATTGGCTCTAAGGCGCACAAATTGGCCAACGTGATAAGGCTTCGCCATCTGGAGTTCTGAATGGTTACCCTTCCACAGTGTTTCCAACCCAATAAATGCAACAGATGCAGTTCCATCACGATGGATGGAATGAAGGATTCCAACTGGTGAATGCTGTTTTTGCTCCTCCCTCAGACGCACCCAGTCCCCAGCAGCAAAGCCATGGGTGACACGCTCTAATGTGGATGTCCGGACTCTTAGTGGATCATGGATTCCACGCACCCTCACTAAGACAGAGCCATCCCGATCATCACTGCCTTCTAAGCCCACAACTTTCCCCTCTGGAACAAGCATGTTTTCAGATTTGGAGGAGTTTGGTTCCTTTCTGGACCGCACAATGTCCCCTTCCTGAAGAGTATCCTTAGAAAGAAACCACTCTGTATAGTACTGCTGGTATGGCCTGCCAGGGCTGCCACTATTGGGTTTACTCAGAATAAAAGTTGTCTCATCATTCATAATTGCATCATGTGAGCTGCAAATCAGTTACAGATATAATGAAATGTAAGGATTCAAATTATAGATTTGAAATGAAAGATCTGGCTAAAAAATGGCATATAATCAGAAAAATATAATCATCAAATTCTTCACACTGGTGCATCTTTGATCGTCGTAAGATCTAGCTGCCAAATTATTTCTTTTTTGAATCCACGACCCACCATCCTTTTCTTTTGATGCAGAAACTGCAGAATAACAAGGTCCATTCTCCTTTTCCTTTTCCCTATTTCCCTTCTGACTTCCCCCCGTTCAAGTTGCTTAGCAATTAGCATAATGACTTTCTTTCTTAACGCAGAGAGGTTATTTAATGTGACTGCTACAGGAGAACAGCTCTAAAATGAAGTTAAAATCGTGTTTCTTCAGAAGCTAGTGCAAACCAATAGATCCCAAAGAAAGAAAATGAGAAGATTCTAAAAGTAGACATGAGAGATAGGATTAAGGAATGATGAACGTATTTTTGCTTCCTCTTCAACTCTCTAGTTCAAACTTCAAACACGAATTATCAGGACCAGATAACATACAATACAGGCTGAGCCAAGGATTCTAAGGGCCCAGAAAAGGCAACAGTGTGCTTCCAGGATAGACTTCAACTAAAAGGCATAGTTTAAACTCTGTTGCAGGGAAAAAAAAAAAACCCTACCCAAGCTAATTCAGGGAACGCGAATAAAAAATCAGTTTTCACTCTACATCACTTTCCTTGTGAGGATATCTGGAGAGGAAAACTTCATCCCATCAAAGAATGGGAAATAAACCACTCTCCTACTTTTCACTTACCCCATCACATTCTCTCTCCCACATATAATTAATCTAAATTACAATTTATTCATAAAGTTATAAAAAAAGATAATTAGGAAATGAAATTAATTTTAATAAATTTAGAGAGAGCGGTGATTTTAAAAAGTTTAAAATACAAAATGGGTCTATAATTATAAATCTCAAAATTTCATAGCCATTGGTACATTTATTTATTTATTTTTGAGAGAATTTTTGGCTAAAACTTGCTGTTAAAAATTGATGTTGTTACAAATAAAACTGAAGAAACAAATGGCTGGATCTAATTGGTTCTGCTATCTTCATGAGGAAACCCATTTTTCCTCATGTTGTGAGGACTGTTTTTCCTCTTGAGGAAAACCATAAGTGAACGTGGATGGGAGGCGGTGAAGAACATATTTCCTCACTAGTATTTATTTTAGCATGATTGGAAGTGCTCTTGCTCTAAGAGCTAAAATAACTTCTCATTTAAATGTAGGTTAACCAATTTGATTACAGAAAGCTACCAATAAATGATTCTTCCACAAACAGAAACTCCAAGTTTATGACTCATTCATGGATCTTCCTAGCAAAGCTAAATCACAAACGCAACAGCAATGGCTAAATAAAGAGAATATCATCTAAAAATTAATTCACTAATCTCACTCCAAGGTGTCAAAATGCTTCTAGCACGAGTTAAACAGTGAATATAATGTCCATTTCTTAGAACAGAAAAAATCTGCCTAGTTAAAAAGTAAACTTGTATGCTATGAATCTATGATGTGGGCAGCTAAGCTTAGTGTTAAAAATAAAAGTAAGCGGGAGAGTCACTTTAAGATCAATTCCTTAGATTATTATTTCTTAGTGTAAAATAAGAGTGCTTTCCAATTTACTGGTCCCATGCAATATCAGGTAAGAATCAGAGTTTCATATCACATTTACACTAGTGTCAAAAAGAAGCCAGAAGAAAACAGAACCAGGTGAGAAACACATTGATTCTTCTCTTGAAAGGCAAAGTGGACTGACCTTCTTATTGCCTGCATTATGTCAGTCATCAGAGGGCGATTTCGGAAGTCAGATTCAAAGCAGCCAGAAATGACATTTTCAATCTCAGGAGGAAGACCACTTGGTATCTGGGGCTTTTCTTGATTAAGAACAACTGATCGATATATTTGCTGAACTGACCTTCCACACCAAGGTTGATCACCTGTTATCATCTCCAAGATAGTGCACCCATATCCCCATGAGTCACTCTCAAATGATATTGGACCTCTTATCTCTGGCTCCCACTGTTCTGGAGCCATGTAATTTGGGCTTCCTACTGTGAGGGACATATCTGAATTTGACAATGAGAGTCCCATAAGAAGATAGGGAACTCCAAAATCCCCTAATATCGCTTGATCATTCTCATCGAGAAGCAAGTTAGAAGGTTTAAGGTTGAGAACCAGAATTTCTTGAGAGTGTACTTCCATGATTGCTTGCGCCAAATTTATTCCATACCTATAGACAAAAAAAAAATAAATAGACAATGATGTGAAATAGTACAATAAGATCAATGGCAACATACTGTCATATTCTGAATCAAAGCATGAATAGAAAGGCAGAACAGTTGTAGTAACTAAAATTCATCAGCCCTTAGCACCTATTTTACCTCAAGACATCAGGCAATGAAAGTTTCCCTCCTTTAGAACGAGCCATCTTGTCGCCAATTGATCCCTCATAGAATTTCATGACAATGCTTATCTGTTGAATTACAACAAGGTTACAAATATGCAACAAGGCTGCATAGTCAATGGAGAAATTGAATTGTTGCTGACATCAGACATTAATTTTTTTTTACCTTCCCATTTATAACTGAAATGCCATGCAGCCAACAAATCCCTTTCATTCCATGACACTTGGGGAGAATATCAGCAAACTTGTCCAAAAAG